TAAAATATAAATATATATATATATATATATATATATATATATATATATATTTGCAAGCGTTGTTGATATTTCAATGTATTTCAATTAAAATTGAATACATGATGGTTTGAGCCTTCCCCTGTCTTAAACTAAACCACGCTGAATTTGATTTTTATATGACTTGATGAACTAAGAATATGAAAGCACAACATAATTGACTAAAAAAACTTGTGTTTATATTTTTTTAATCATAAAAATAATATTTTAACATTTAAAAAAAATATTTGCAAGCGTTATTAATATTTTAATATATTTCAATTAAAATTGAAGACATGTTGATTTTAGTTTTTTTTAGTTTAAATTAGATCAAGTTGAAATTAATTTTTATATGACTTGATCAATCAAAAAAGTGAAGGCACAAATATAATTGATCTAGAAAACCTAATTTTATTTTTTTTAAATCAATAAAATGATATTTTAATAATATTTTTTAAATATGAAGGCAATAACATTTTTAATAAATATAGGTTAAACTGAAAAATACATGATTTAATTTGGTTTAACAACTTTATCTCTTAAAATCATTTTTTTTAATTACATGATAAAAAAATATATGCATGCTCATTAAAGTGGTTGAATAAATTGTGTTTTTTTTTAAAAAAAACATTATGAAGGGTTGTAAAAAAAATAAAAGAGTACTTTATGGTGGTAGTAATAATGACGATGATGATAATAAAAGGCTATGATCCTAGTAAAAAAAATGATATTCAATAAAAAGAAATCTTATTACAATATATACTAAGTGTTATGCTTTTTTTTATTATTATTGAATTTTATTATGATATTTTTTAAAATTATTTTTATTATTTTTATTTTTTAATATTAGAATGGAAGAGAATTTGATTTCATAATTTGCTTCTTTTTATTATTTTTTTATAGGGTTAGCATTTATGTGAGAGTAATCCAAGTTGTCTCGGTTTATGAGTTTGATAAGGTGTCTTTTTCTTATTGAACTTGATTTTTTTATCTTTTATTTTTTTCTCGTATAATTAAAAAAAATAATTTAAAAAAAAAAGTTATGTTATCAAACTTTATAAAGTTCATAGATATGCTCAAAAGTTTAGCTAGTTAACATGGTTCATGATATTAACAAGTTTATTTTTTTTAAATTATTTTTTATTATATTTATAGATATTTGGTTAATTGAGAGTTCAAAGTATTTGATTATGCGATCACCTATTTTTTTATATTATATAATTAAATAAAATATGATTATAAAAAAAAAATTATAATCTCAATGGAGACCATAACCTGATTTACAAGTTAGGCATGCTAGCCCAAATTACTTAATTCACATGTTCGATGAATTCTCTCATTATTTATATATATATATTCGGCATGCTAGCCCAAATTATTTAATTCACATTCTCTCATTATATATATATATATATATATCTTTAACTTTTTTAATTTTTTAATTTTATTTTTAGTATTAAATTAGTTAAAAATAAATTGTATAATCCTCGAGGTTTTCTATAAATGATCTCAGGATAAAGTCTCAGCCCAATTATCGATCTCAGGCCTTGTAAAAAATATTGGGGCTAACTTAGGCCCCTGTAAGAAACCAGCCCAGCACATAAACAGATCTATCTACGAGTTATAACTAGAATTAGGAAACACATTGCAGTAAAGGGATAAAGGGAACTTGATAAAGGGACTTTCGTGGACTTCTGTAAAATAATCAAATCAATTCAAACTATGATCATATAGATAATTTAATTTCATGGACAGGTTACAAAATCGGTTGACCTGGATAGGATGCATCCCAAGTATACATCTTTTATGATCTGAAATTCAAGAAAAACTACACATGCACAGACCCGATTTAATTCCAACACATGTGGGATTAAATTCTCATCATGTGCTTTATTTATGTGCTACTAAAATTAATCAACTCTTAGGAATGCTAGATCTTGTCTGAAAGTGTCTTAACATTAATCTTTCCATATATAGTAGTAGTACAGAGTTAGGCATCAACAGTCCTTGAAGAAAAGATTACTGAATCCCAAGGTGAGCAGCTCTAGTATCATTCTCTTTTTTCTACTTTCAGCCTGCTGACAGAATCTCCCCTCCTCTTTAGCTGTTTTCTAGACATGAAAGAAAAACTACATATATGAATACATCAATCTACTTGTTTTTGGAACTTGCCTCAGATTGGAGACAAGGGTGCCATATCTGTAGAATGGATAATCCCTTACTCCTTCAGGTGATGCCTTCCATAGGACAAAACCTTGAGAATTCTAGCCAATAAGCTGACCTATCTGAACAATTCCTAGGGAGACCGAATGACTGAGGTGTTACTACTATCTATCTCCTATGGTACAGAAAGATGCTTTAGTAGTGTTAAACATTTTAAATAAATAAAGACAAATACAAAAATAAGTAGGGATAAAAAAAAACCCAACAAACTAAAAAAACTGAAACAAAATTTAATAAAAACACTGAATAAAAAAAACCCAATTAAATCAATTAAAATATTTAAAAAAAATTTCAGTTTGATTTGATTTGGTTTGGTTTATAATGCTAAAACCAATAAATTCTAACTAAATCGAACTACTTCCAACAAAATATATATATATATTTCTATTCTAAGTTTCTAACCTAAGCTAAACCCAGTAACCCGAAGCAGTCGCCCCCTCCCAAGTCTCCTTACAGACATTGACAGTCAGTCACACCACCTTCCAATTTTCATTCTTCAATTTGCACTGCTGATCTAGCATCCCAGCAACAACCCCAAGCCTCAGCGGCATTCCATTTAATCGCCCTTCTTTAGTTCTTTGGAATAAGCCAGTAAGATTTATTTATCTGTTATTTCTCTCTCAACAGTATTTGCTTACTGTTTCTTACGTCCGCTAACCTTTCTTTAGGAAATAACCATTCAAGAAAGCAGCACCATTGCCCCTACTATTTTATTCAATCTGAATGAAGATTATGACGTTGCAACCAGCTTTTTAAAATTCAATCAATCACTTCACAATTCCATTTCTAGTGCAAGAAAAAATGGGATCTTGCTTCTTGAAAAATCTTATTATTGATTCTAATTTTTTTTTGGTCTAAACTAACTAACAGGCCGAATTGCGATATTTGTATGAATTTTTATTTTTATTTTTGTTTGGTGGATGATTATAAAATGGGAGGGTATATTGCTTGGTGGATATGTATCAAATAGTTAAGAACTGTTCCAAACATAGAAAGGAAATTGTGATTGAAAAACCACGAATCCATGGGGAGGGATGGGGAGTTTTGGAATTTGTTGCTCTACTCTAATTACTCTAATTTGCCTTTGTTCGCTGTACCTGTACAAACATAAGCAAACTATAGACAAGCTTATGACCGCTTCAAAACTAAATAAGATCAACTGTTAAATCTGCTATTGGCTGAAATCAACCTTTTGTTGTTTATCTTTTCTTTGCTCTTGCCATATAATCTTGGGTGAAATAATCCGACTAGTCCTTAAATTCAAATATTTATTCTACCATAAAACCATGGCGCGGGCTTGCAATAGATTAAGTATATGCTTTTACTTGAGTACTTAAGAGTCCAACTTTCTTCAATTTGCAGTTAATTTTTTATATTAAAAAAATTGAGATTTTAGTTAGTTAAACCCCTGTTAGAATATTACCACTTATGTGGTAGCATCTGCAACCGATCTTCTAGAAAGGATGGTTGCCATTGCCATTGCCATTACCATTGTCAAAGAAGGCTGCTAGGTGCAGCCACCATTGTTGAAGATGAGTTGGAGTTGGTGGCCACCATTATGACAAAAAAACAAGAAAAGCTGCCATGAA